GAGAGCACCCCATCTCAGTCTGGAGCCATCACCTCTTCTATACCCCTCATATTCCATTCATGCAGCTTCATCCATTAGTTTAATTAACTCTTTGGCTCTGGGAACTTGCACTAAGCTACGGCTTCAGCACCTGGCTATTAGAGGAGGCATACTGTGACCACTTTCTCGACTCACTAGCGAGAGCAGAACTTTAATGATGATAATGCCCCGCTGGTCAGTCTAAATCACTTCAGTCCAATTAGAGGAACCAGGATCTATACATGCTGTTCTCTTTGTCTTGTGTCAGTTTTAAGTACACATTTGGTTATGTCAGAATAAAACTCCCCAATTATGCCCAAGAGATTAGGATGTCTATATAGCTATTTGTCAAGATGTGCTGGGTCTCTCTTTTGGCCCAAATCTATGCTTTTTGAATCCTGTCCTTCCATCGTCCATTGCACTAAAATAGCTCTTAAGACTGCTTTTTATGGCATCTAAGCACTTTGAATCACTGATGTGCCAATCAATCAGCCAGTAATCACAGTAGGGGAAACTTCCCTTGATCGCCTCGGACCTCTGATCCACATATCCTGTAAAGATTAATCAGATTTTTTATTTCTTGTTAATAAATGTTTCACAAGTCTTGCCACCGACTCTTAGTTGGATTTAGATCTGGACTTTGTCTGGGACATAGTCACTTGTCTATGTAGTTAAGCATTATTTAAGCCACTAACATGTTTGTTTGTTTTTATTTTTTGGATCTGGTACTATAATCTTAATATTGAAAACTTAAATTAGGCCTGTTATTCTTTTCCCTCTTAACAATGGTGTTCTTTAGGTTCTTCTGTCATAAAAGTCAGATTTGCAGAGTGTTCAAGCAATAATGTCAACCAGACCTCTCACACTAGGATTGTGCAGATCATCTGGAGTTACCATCAGCCTATTGGCTCCTTCTCTGATAGATTTTAAAGTTAAAGTAACTGACACTGAATAAAATACAAATGTGCTTCCCCTGTCAGGGAAACTGCCACACGTTCATTCTTAAATTTCATTACTGAATTAAAATTGAAGAAAACCAAATGGTTTTTGTAAAAAAGAAATAATAATAAAAAGAAAGTCTTATTTCTGCATCTCCATCTAAATCTTTTCACCACCCAACATCTCCAACAACAGACGGTGGCTGGGTAAGCCAGGATTTATTTGCCAGGTTGCTTTCTTAAACCAGACATTTCAATGTTTCAATGTTTTCAAAGCACATAATTTAAATGGTAGTCATGAAATGTACTAGCAATTTAGGAAATCCATGAAAAGATACCACGATGACAAGGAGAAAGGCAGTGTGCATGTTCGCAGTGGCTACTCTTGGATCTTTGCAACGAGAAAAGGCATTCAGAATTAAAAAGGCAGTTCCAATAGATGATGGAGAGAACGATGAACAGCTGCAGATCAACCTGACCAAGTGTGGACGGGCCAGACTGAGCCATGCTCTGAGGAAGAGCCAGAGCACCATAACCAGGTACAGCTTAAAGCTGACCTGCATAAAATAACTACACCACTGCTTTTTCTGTTCATTCTGGATAACAGGGTGGAGTATGTATTGCTGCAGGTAGACAAACAGCGTGAGCACCCGCAAGTTAGAGACTGCTGTGATTTGGGTTCTGATCCATTCCAAAGCAACTTCTCTGAATACATCTGGAGGAATTGCTGTGGACTGGGAGGCACAGCATGGCCACAGATGGGAAAAGGGATGGTACGATAAAATAAAGACAGACTGCCACTCAAAGCGTTAAACGCAGTATGTGCAGAATGCAAAAGCTTACAGCACAAGATCCAAGTCTTTTTGCATCTACAATATTTAAAGAAATAAATTCATACAGTGTGATGTGCCTCTTAATATTGGAGTAGCTATGAAACATTTAAGCATTTTTATGATCTTTTAATTCTTGCAGCCTATTTTTTCTATTTCCCAGCACAGCTGGTTGGCCCTGGGAAAATAAGCACATTTTCTTAAAGTTACAAAAAGCACATTTTGTTTTATAGAGCTTTGTTTAAGTAACTTAGCATAGTGATTACATATCATTTTAGCAGTGGTGAAAAATGTCTGATTGTAATGCTTGCATGCATCTTCTAACATCGACATTATTACCTGGACAAGTGTATTATTTATTTACAGTTCAGTATTCGCAGGTTCACCTATTCGTGGATGTTTCTGTGGAATGCAAATCCCAATTATTTATGGAAAACACACCTTGTGGATCTTGATGTAATGCATATCTAAAATAGATTTTTAAAAAATGCAGTTTGGGAAGCTGACATACCTAAGTTTAATGCAACCTGACACACTATTGGCTGGGGTTTGCAAACCAGCCAGTCCAGGTGTGCCATCCAATTTCCTTGGAGATGATTGGCTGCACCCCCAAAAATGGAAATAGAGAAGACTGTAGGTATTAGCGACTGTGGTCGTGCTAAGCCTATTTCCACTGCATGTAGTTATGCTAATTAAGGTGCTTATAATGTTTTAACTATTAAAATGGCCAGTTATGTGTTTTTAGAGAGGATCTCAAGTGATCTGGATTGTTGGCTATCCACAGGCAACTCAGGTTTCTAAACCTCACATATATTGGGGGTCCACTGTATATATATATATATATATATATATATATATATTTTTTTTTTTTTCCAATACACTATATTGTACTTATGTGACATCTCATTCTTAACCCTGGGGTATTTAATGTCAGCTCAGCGTTGCAGCTATGACAGCTTCAACTCATCTTGGAAGGCTTGCCACAAGGTTTAGGACTGTATTGATGTGGATTTTTGTCATGTCTATAAGGACCTTACTTGGTACATTAGTGCACAGTTATGTTGGAACAGCAATGCACCCTCCTCAAACTGTTCCCACACAGTTGGGAGCATGAAATTGCCCAAAATGTCTTGGTATACTGAACTAACAGTTCCTTCGAGTGGAACTAAGGGGCTGAGACCAACTCCTGAAAAACATCCTTACACCATAATCCCCTCTCCATCAAACTTTACGCTTGGCAGAATACAGTTGGGTAACTTCTTTTCTCCTACCAACAACAATAAAAAAAGCATTAATTTCAACAATAATCTCAAAATATTTGAAAAAAAAATGATCGATGTAGTTTTTCTGTGATGCTTAGCTGCACAATTACACCATTGGATGCAACTGATGTAGCAGATAGTTCAGATTAATTTAATGTATTAAAAAGTACATTTTATTTTTAAAGAAGTATTCTGTTAGAGCAAAGTCAAAGCAATCTCAATAAAACACGTGGATTTTATGAATCCAAGTCCGACACGGAATTGCTGTTGGAGCTTTGGCCAAAATACAACAGCGCAATTGACTTTGCCATCCCCAAATTAAAGCAACTACAAACTGCTAAAACTGTGAAAACACATCCTGGAGACTCCGACTCCAAACGTGTCATCATTCACCCAGCAAGCAGCTGGTCATTAGCTATGAAGGGCAGAGGGGGCAACGGTAGATACCTGCCAGAGGGGCCACATCCTAGGGACTGAGGGACGTGCTGCTAGGAGAACGAGTTGACTGTGGGTCACTGTATAGCGATAAACCAGGACAAGCATAAGGAGGCTGCTGTCTCCCAAGGTGACAGAGGTTATGAGGCAAACAGAAACCTCTCACATACCTGTCTGTCAAAGCGCCAGCATAAATCCATGATATGAGGCTGGGACTAAGGACACCATTAGCTACATTCAGCTGCTAAAGGTGAAATATTCCCTCTCACACAATGACCCTCCTCAGATGATACAATGCATTGAATTTTATTCCAGTGGGCTGAATATATTATTTTGTCAGAGTCGCTCATTGAATTGTTAGGGCCTTCGGTGTAATTTTATGCTGTAACCAGCAAATGTGGGGATAATCAAATCTCCCTCACCCTGAAAATAGAAGCACATCTGCTGTCTCACAGGGAACTTACTGACAGTATAATCCATGTTTGTTTTATTTGATAAGTGTGAAAGCGGATCTGTTGATTGTATGTTCTAGTTTGGATAAAGTTGTGGATGTACCTCAAGAAATGCATGGCATGCTCAATCAGAAACTCATTTTTCATCAAAAAGTGGGGATCAATTAAATAAACAATGTGTGCACAAGCAGCGTGGGGTTGATAACCACCCATGCACCGCCCTGACATTGTAATTACCTCCTAGAGGATTATGAGCTATTGTATTTCTCTAGTGCTCCAAAAATAAGCAGCAAATATGAATAAAGAAATACTAAGACAAAGACATTTATAATGAAACGAGAGCACAACAAATAATAAAATGACAGCAAGTGCAAAGACCGCTGAGCACTAAACTGTATCCTCAACAATTCTCAAGGTATCAGTTATTGCTTCGGCGTCTGGGGAAATAAATACTGCATAACGGCTGTGGAAAGCCTATGTTTGAATGATAATGGTTGCATAGAACAGGTCATGGGGTCGGCACATTTAATAGGTACCTTCCTTTTCTGTGCATGAAGTCCAAGCTAATCCAGTTATTAATGTGAGGTATTTAGGACAGAGACCAAAACATGCACCGTCTTAGCATAACCTCCAAAGCAGAGGAAAACACCAGCTCGAGCCAAATGATCTTTCAGATTTGCATCCGTACACTTTGACCTGAAGTAAACAGACACATATCTATTTACTCCAGCAGTGACAAATTGGTGGCACAAAGTAAAAAATGTATCTCCACATCTTAAAGCAATAATTCTCCCAGAGGTCCTGTCAAAAGGTTACACACAGTTAATACCTTACCCGCAGTAAATAAGTTTAGGTGCCTGGGCTTAAATTAACTTGTTTAAGCCCAAATTAGTTGGTCCAACAGCAAGTCGGAAAGGTTCCAAGACCAAAACAGACTTCTACAATCTCACAACTCATACTTGAAAAATATTACGTTTGATGAGGTGAACGCGATTACAGAAGGTCTTTAAAGGTTTCCTAGGAACTGCAGTTTCCAAGCTTCCACCTCACAGAGCTGCCCTTCCCCGCAACTCCCCCACTCTGCTCCTTCAGATCAGCCAGCAGAAATTAGCAAACACCCAGTAGAACTGCACATCTGAAGAGCTCATTATACGAGTTACTTCTTAGTGCAACACCGGTAAAAATGTTAAGGGTTTAATAACAAGACTCTGACCAATACGGGTTAATAGATGATTTCCTGAAAGCAAAGTTTCAGAAAGAGCNGNAAAAATTTAAAGAAAAAGATTTCAAGGCTTCAAATTACAAAATCAAATTCATTTCAAGTCATATTTGCTTCATAAAGCGTTTTATAACAACTGAAAGTAGCACATTTACTTCACTGTGCTACAAGGTGGCACTATGTCCCTGGAAAATACAAAATACTGTCCCTTCAAACATTTGTGACGGTCCTAAAATATGTAGACAGATGCAAGTGATTATTTTAACAGGGAGGAGGCAGTGTGCCACCAATGTCCTTTCTTTGGGAAGCAGATACTAAGAACAGAACGTGTTAAGCATTTTGGCAAAGTAACTATTGGGCATGGTAGTAAAATGCAATAAAAAGCAAATGTTTTGTAGCAGTTTAAAGTAAAAAAAAAACAACCTTTCATTTTATCTTTTTAACTGATTGTTAAAACCAACATAAAAAAAATAAACTGGAGGAGCACACTAACCAAAGACAAATGAAAAAGAAAATAAAACTAACCTTACTAACCTAACCCTAAGCCTTTCTCATCTGGCAATTATACTTATTTTTTTTAGTCCCTTTCCTATCGAGTATAAAATTACTCTCATCCAGGAGGGTCCAAGTCTAGTTTTCGAGAGCTACCATCCTGCAACTTTCAGATGCATTCCTTCTCTAACGTACCTGGATCAAATGAATGGCTTGCCAGAAGGCCTCTGCATAGCTGAGCTACTGCTAGTTAGGGAAGTCAACCTTACTACAGTAGATTTTCAGGCACTTTGTAGTTTAACTTTGTGGTAATCGTTGGCTGAAATTCAGGCGCTCCATGGCTGTTGCTGCAGGCCCACCATATAAGATGCAGCCACCTGGAGTTTGCCTGAAGGGCTGAACTATTTGCTGCATGTTTCTTCTGTTCTCTTTCTGCTGACCTTTCTATGTATTTACAGTAGATAAATGCCAGTGTCACAACAAAATACACACCCTTCCACCCTCCAAAAGAGAGAAATAATCTGGTAGTTCCCAGTAAAAATAGATGTATGCTCCATTTCTGGATGTACGTTTCACATAGAAAACTCATCGGTGCTGCACTGCATCCTACCATCAGCTCCTATGTAAATAAACAACTTCTGTGCAAATACCAACCAAATGCAAATATGTCAATTGTTTAAAGGTTAAAAAAATGTGTCCACATAAACCAGAATGAAATCTATGTAAATGAAAATTGTTTTAAAACCACTGAAGTCCAATTAATTCTTGATTTTTGTTAGCTTCAGCCGTCATGGCTAAATCATCTGGATTTGAGTCAAATAAAGACACCATGAAAGCCAGAACTACTGCGTCAATCATTTTTACAGAACCTCTCAGAGCTATCCCTTCACCTGTTCTACTTCTATCATATACAAATGGTTTAAGAGTCAACGAACGTTTGGATTTTTCAAAGCTCATGAGTGTTCTTATGGGACTTTTAGCCTTAGGTAACCCAAAGCTGCTAATTAGGCCACAAATCACAAGACTGCACATGACCACATCCCCAGATGAGAGCGGAGCTAAGCACAGGGAGAAGACATTTTACATCAAACCTTAATCCAGACTGTGTCTCACTCACACTCTTCGCTACCCAGCAGCATCCACAAAGAAGAAAAGCCCGCTCAGAGCTGGTATGTGGCCAGCATTAGGAACAAGAGATGATGGGGAAAATTAAAGAATAGAAGGGAGGGGGGAGCTCACAAAAAGCAGAAGAAAATTGATTCCTGGGGAGAGGTGAATGCTGGTGAAGATTGGCCAAATTCATTTCAAAATTAAAGATGCTGGAGGCTGGTCTCTATGTATGAGGACTAATAAAAAACACACACACACACACATACACACAAATACAATCCCTAAGAAACACAATAATTTTAAATTGTCAGTTGCCCCTCAGAGATCTTGTTTGTCATACCTTCCTACAGACAAAAGCTCTAAGAAATGAAAGCTAACTTTATTTTACGTTTCGACATACAGAATTGAAAATATGAGCTTGGTGATGTTACAAAAGAAGCTCACGGTTGAAAAGGCAAAGACAGTGTTGTACACATGGATGACTGACAAAGTAGTCCTTTGCCTTCTGGCTTTCAAGTTTCTCTCTTCAACCGAATGTTAAAAATATACTCCAAAAACAAACGTAACAATAAAAAATTGCTCAATTTATTTTCAGCTTATTTTCAAAAAGCTGGACACAACTAAATCAAAGCTTCTTTTGTAAATCCTGCTTAATGCATGTGTAACATTTTGATCTCTGAGCCTTGAAAAGAGAAAAAATAACAAGAGATTGGTGAGTAAATTTAATACAGCGTGAAGGGTTTAGACCGGTGCGGATTTTAGAATGCAAAGAACAGCTTCTACCCCGATAATTTTGTGATACATCTACATTATTTACTATGCCTCGCAGGTATTTGAGCTCGCACTTAAATGAGTCATGAGACTCTGGAAGATAAAGGACAACCAGGCTGAGTGATCTTTCCTTTACCTGTTTGAGAGAGTATAAGGCTGAATCAATCTGAATTTACGACAGCATTTTCAGTCTTTGGGGAAAGATTTCAGTCCCAGTTTTGCTTTGGATTTGAAAGTCTTAATCGCAAATAAAACAGTGTTTGAAGTTACTTAAGAATAATTGCCAAGGTTTGGTTAAAAAAAAAAAAAAGAAATTCTCTATGATCAAAAATGTATGGGTTTGTTTAAAAAACAAAACAAAAAAAGATATCATTCACTCCGCAGGCACCATTAGCCTGGAAACTAATTCAATACAAGACGGAAAAAAAGAAGGCCTAAACCACTCTCCTCTATTGCAGTCTCTGTTCTTGGCTTTCCCACTCAGCAGCTATTATTCTTCCGGTTCTGTAAATGAGGCAGGGACAACAACAGCTACCTGTTTGCAAAGCAAGCGTCCTTAAAATTTAGAGTCCAGACAGAAATCAATAGCAGCAGTGTAACTGACTAATCCAGAGATAGTAGTATCGGATAAATGGTCTAACAAGACCAGGAAAGTATAGGTGATGCAGCACAAACTACTTCCACGCAGCTGGTGGATGGAAGTACATACATACACACACACACACACACACACACACACACACACACACACACACACACATACATACATACATGCATACATACAGTGCCTTTGTTGTTTTTTGATAAATTGCATTTTATTCTATTTTCAGTTGTTCTCTACAAAATATTTTTCTCATTTCCTGCCTCCTGCCATTTCATTTTGCATTCACCTTGGCTGCAATCCTGTTGAACCTAGCAGCTGGTCTTTGCTTTTGAATTATCCTGGATTACTTAACGTGAGTCAGGGTTACACGAGAAACCTCAATCCATTTCACACTGAACAAGCAATTATATATATATATATAAAAAAAAAATGTTGCCTCATGACATAAGGATAAGCTTGCACACCTTTCCGAACAGTGCCATCATGCCACCATTACGACCTTACCCCCAACAGTTAACTCCTCACCTCTCGGGGGATGTGTACTCATTATAAAGTCAGTCATCATGATTATGAGTTTAAAAAATTTTTGCTGAGCCGCTCTCGAGCTCATTTCAGTTCATCAGCATAACCCCATTAGAGCGGGAACCTGTGGGCTGGCAATCTCGCATTTCCTCAATATTGCAGTCCCAGCAGGCTGAGCATGTCCACATCCATTAAGTTGGACCTAAGCCACCAACGAAGCCTAATATAGTGCCACGAGGCACACTAAAACCACGCGACACCTGAAATTTAATTAATTAGCTTTACACAACAAACTGTCAGTTCAACACATCAATCTGCCCTAAACAGGGAAACTGGAAAAATTGGTTACACTTATCATAGCGATTGTGCTTTGGGGGTCTTGTTTTTTACACATATCAGACACGAGGGCCCAGGACACCCATCCTCTGGACATGCCACTGTAACAATACAAACAATCAAGTCAACAAAAACTCAGTTTACCCAGGGTGCAGGAATCTCTAATTTATTTCCTTCCATAATATATTTACCTAATCTAGGAAAGGAAACAGATTGTCAGAGGCAGTGGGAAGTAAGATGATTTGGAGCTCAATTCTGCTAAATTGGTTGCTGCCAGCGTGATACATCATGGAAAATTAAGATGCCTCTCCCCAAGCACAGAACTTCAGCAGCCATATTGGCACATCTGTCAAGGGCCCACCCCTGACAGAGACAAATTGACCAATTCTGGCACACAAAGGCTGATCCAAAGTGCTAGCAATAACCAAGATGAATAATGAGCCAGCTCTGGCTCCAGCAAAATTCATTTTTAATAATTAGTGTTCCTGCACCTCTCATTTTCTCAGAAAATGAGTGCAGGTACATCTACAGGTTTATACAACACATCAGCAAGACTGGAGGGATACAGATGATGTTGTGTGTTAAGCTTCCATCATCACACAGAATGACTGCAACTTGAAAAGCGGGGTGGAAGATGGATGAATCTCTCTCTGTTCTCCCAGGAGCCGGAAATTAATCAAGTCCAGAGAGCTCTGTGGTGTGGGGCTGCTGTAAAGAAATGTTTCAGGATGAGCAGGATAAAGTTCAGAAGGTCAAAATAAAGGAGGGAAGAAAGGAAGGGATGTTTGGTGGCACCGAAAATTGCATTTACTGACAGCTACAGTCCACGCCTCAATTTTCTGCTTGGAACGAAGTGGAACTCGAATGCTAGTGAAAGGGTGAATATTACAAAATGTCTGCTTTTCTCTGTACTTGACATCTGGCAGTGAAGCTTGTTAAAATACTACCAGAATGAAAGTGTGTGTGTGTGTGTGTGGGGGGGGGAAATAAATAAATAGATGCAGGTGTTCTATGACTGTAATGGATTGTGTGTTGCATTCGAGAGCTGCTCCAACTAATTGATTAAGAACATAATTAGTACTCAGTAAAACAGTCAGTCACAATG